ATAAAGAGAGAGACAAAAGATTGATAGACAGTAGCTATAGATAGATAGATAGATGATAGATAGATAGATAATAGATAGATAGATGAAGAATTTCGAGGCAAAGCCTTAGTGTGTACCCTGAGTTGCTGTCAAACTAGGGAAATTCTTGTCTTCACCTCGTAAGTTATAATTTATAAGCCTTCTCAAACAAACTTGGCTTATTAAAGTTATTTAAAATGAGTTACCTGTTGTCCTCAAATCAAATGAAGTGGAATATTTAGCAAAAGATTTAAAGTGAGAAATACCTACACAGCCCCATCACAAAAATTTCATTTTTTGCATCTAAGAGCATTTATTAAAAGTGTACCTTTTGCACAACTATGCACACTTACTACATCTGGTATACATGTGCATACATCACAGTTAAATATCTAATATGAGGGATTGAACTCATTACCTGGGTGCTATTCCTGAGCTTCTTTTTCCATGTTTACTGCTCTATGACTTGAGCCACATCACAAATTCCATTTCCCACATTTTAATGATTAATTGTTGATAAGTTCACCTGGGATATTTTGTCCTGGCTGCCTTTAAAGCTCAATGCTCAGATATCAGGTTTACAGGCATGAACCACCTGTGATCAACAGCTTTAGATATTTTTATTTACATGTATTGTTTTTTCTGGTACTTAGTAAGCATTATTTTATGTTGATGCTGGTCCTGAGGCTTGAACTAAAGGCCTATGTGCTAGTCTGAGCTTTTTTGCTCAAGATGAGCACTCTAGCACTTGAGCCTCATTTCCTCCTCAGGCGTTTTCATGATGAGTTAAAAAATTTATCTCAATGACCTCCCTATCTCAGGCTCACTTCAAACCATCAAACTCAGAACTCAGCTTCCAGAATAGATAGGAGGACAGGTTTGAACCATAGGTGCCTGGCCAAATACTATGTCCTGAGGCCTCCTTGAATACTTCACAACGACCAGCATTTTTTTCCATTTTGTGGGTTACATATTTGGAGTTTATAAGGAGGGAAGAAGAAGAGTAAGAGAACCAGGAGTCCTTGCTGAGGGTTCTGATATGTCAGAGAAACTATTCACATCAAGGTGAACTGTGTTTTTAGTTTTTGAATGAACTAAATTCCTGTCTTTTTACTCCCCTTCTTTGTAGAGATCTTCATTTCTTCATTTTTCAATCCCAAATAATTTAATAATCTTACTGATATCCTGTTTTTGGAAATGGATCTCACCACTTTCGTGTTTATGTTTAAGGCCCTGATATGGGCCTTGTGATCTGTTCCCTCATGGCTTCTTCTGAGATGAACTTAGTCAGAAGGGCCAAAACTTGTGCAAAAGATCTGATAAGTTTACAGGTGTTATGACGGAGCCTGGGTGAATTCAATTAACTGGATGAGTTTGTATTGATTTGTACATAGCATTGATTTTTATATTTCAAATTATGTAAATGTAATCTTACAGTTAACCCCAAAGCAATATATGTGTGTTTATATACATATATGTGTGTGTCTATATATCTGTCTGTCTTTGAAATAACTGCAAACTTTTTATTTTAAAACTATATCAAACTCAAGAATAGTAATTGGTATTGCTGATAATTCAAATAAAGAAAGTAGATTTTTTGCCTCAGATCATCACTATTTATTGTGCATTTATAGTGTACTAGACACAATATAACATACAGAAAATATTGTCCCTGCTCTGGAAGAACTTACATTTTGTAAGAATAAAAACAGCTTTTAAAAATGGTCTTTTTCTTTGGTGTTTCCTGTAAAGAACTTAGGAAATATTCTGTAAGGTGAGATTTAGGTATAACAGCCTCATCATTAATGAAAGAAGAAAGATTTAAAGGCAAAAATGACAGACCCATTCAGGATAGAATTTATAGGAGATACAAAATCGCATCAACTAAGGAGACATGTGCCGCAGTAGAGGATGTTAGAAATAGTTTGTGGGAGGCAAGCAAAGGAAGCAAGTGTAGAATGTGAGTAGAGCCAGAAAGTTCATGTGGCCTTTTCCCAAGTACATGGCCACCAAAGAGGAATGGTTGGTGACAACACAGAAGGCTACAAAAAGGAAGGTAATCCTATGCACCTGACAAACAGAATGAACAAAATTGAAGGCAAACTGTATCAAGAAATTCTCAAAAACCAAAACTGACTTGGAAGCACAGAATTTACAGTTAATGCTATGCACTGTCATGATGGTCCAAGAACTTTGTGGGTTCTTAATTTAGAAAATGCCAGATACTAAAATTTTAACTTGAATATATCACTTTTCCAATCAGTTTTCCCCGCCCTAAAGGAAAAAAAATGTTTTTGAGTTGGAATATGGGAGGTTGCCAGTAGTTAGATTTTTCTTTTAGTGTTTTTCTGTTATGTTTATGTTATGTTTTGTAGTTATGATAAACTTTGCACTTTAACTTGGTAAAAGTCCAATGTTTCCCAATAGGGACTAAGGAACAAATTTTTAATAATGTACAATTTCTTTAGAGGAGATTCAAAACCAAAAGATTGTTTATATGAAAAGTTGTAGAGAAAGTAGTTGAAAAAAGTCCATTCAAAAATGTTTTTATTCCATTTACATGAACTTAATACATGTGTTCTTAACAATTATGCTTGGATTGTTCATAAAAATTTCAAAAAATATTGAACAAAGCTAGCCATTATCTCAAGTTATTTCCCTGTTCACTACTTTTTTTAACAGTACATGTATTTGAGGCACATATCAGAAAAGAAAAAAATTATAAAAGCAAAAAAAAATCGAAAAACCAATTAAATACATATAGGGTTTTTTGTTTAATGCTCTGCTGGATATACATGAATAATGAATACCAAGGAGTTCATTTTTACTACACCTTTATTTCTACATTTGTTTTTAGGTTGGTTAAAACATTTATATACAAATAAAATGTGTAACAAAAATAATGAGAGCAAACAGCAGTTCACTTTACAAATGGAATGTGAGCCATTTTTGCCCTTACCTGGAATTAATTGGGTCACAACTTTGTCTCAAAGAGCAGCTCTGGTGCTGAAGTCAAAGGTGTGAACACTGAGATAGACTCTTCCACAGAAATACATGATTCCAACATATAATCTCCATGGAATATCTGTGAAGTGGGGCTAAGACTCTGTCCGTGGATCTCCCAGCTCACAGGCTCCTGCAGCTCTGCAGACATGGGGTTTCCTCCAATACAATTTTATTGTTTTTACATGTCACCTATATCCTTAATTTACATTGAAATTTTCATAATCAGTGAAAATATATTTTGATTGCTGCTCATTTTTTGTCATTTTAAAGTGATTGTATAATTAGATATTCTAGTAACATGAGATTGTGGGATTCACTTTTTGAAAAAATACTGTCTATGGAAGTGTGTATGGTATCAGGAGCTCAATGTCAACATTCTATGATGACCTTGTACCATGATGATGAGATGATGAATGAAGTTTTGCCTTCTACTCAAACTGTCACTCAGCGCCAAGAGGTTCATATTTGTGAACAGATGGGATATGCTCAGCTGCATGTCCAAAGTCCTGAGAATGGGAAATCTATTGGTATGAAAATATGTTCATACAGATTTTTTGAATGCTGCTTTTACACATGAGACTGCTCATTGTTACTTATTCTATATTCCTCATCTTTTAAAAAATTCTGCAATGTTTTACTTATTTTTAAATGTGCAACAAAATTCCATTAAATTACTAAGTTTTTATTTAAGGTTCTGCGATGAAACCATTTTTAAAACATTTTTATAGGGCTGGGAAGGTAGCTCAATGGTAGAGTGCTTGCCTCACATACATGAGGCCCTGGGTTTGCTTCCTCAGTGCTACATAAATACAAAAATCCAGAAGTGGTGCTATGGCTCAGTTGTTAAGGCGTTAACCTTGAGATGGACAGCTGAGGGACAGAGCAGGCCCAGAGTTCATGCCCCACAATTGACAAAAATATATACATATTTTTTTCTATATAAAATATCATAGTTATTCCAATGTAGTTTTTGTAAACATCTTGGAAGAATAAATATAACAGGGGGCACCCTTCACTGCCTTTATTAGACAAGGGGACTCATGATACAATATAGAACAATGTCAGAATCTGATGTGTGGCATGAGTAGAGTGTCAAGCTTGAACATAAAAGCCAAGAATTAAAGCACCATGAGTTTAAAGCTAACTACCAACATAAACAAAAGGAAAGGTAAATATAGTGATAGAATTTCATGAAACCGAAATTATGCATCATCTTTTTATTTATGTAGATGTCCAAATAGAGAATATTAGCCATGGAAATCCAGAAATTATAGATGGGTTTTCAGAGTACAGTGAGAGAGAAAGAGCATACTGATAATTTTTTCTCTTTGATTTGGAGGATCCTGGGGAAGTGGTCATAATGAGTGGTGTCATCAAGACAATGAAGTGGACAGAGTGTGATGCAGGAAAAATATCTTGTGTGGTTCTCAGTGAGTTAGGGACTGTGGCAGGGACTGGGTTTCTATAAGGTGAAATGATCCTTCACATTCATCTCAGGGGACCACACATATGAAGGCAGGCACTGGAGAAAGATTATTATAAGGTTTATTAAAGAAGCCATATTGTCCTGGGAGATGGAGCATATGGCATCTGTCCCTATCCAGGTAGAAGGTGGTTCTGTGGCAGGAAGTGAGGTAGGTGCTTAGATAGGTCTGGGCAGAGAGAGGGAAGGGACAGCTGTATGGTGGGAACTTCAGGGTTGGGAGGAACTCAGGTCTGGGTGGAGCTGAGGACCATAGGAAGGCATAATGCTTACATTCCCCATAAAAATAGGGGTACCAGACCAAGGGATATGGGTGGAGGTCGTTTCTTTAGAGTGTCTTCTTGCTGTAAATGGGTAAAGTAGTAAGGGGTTCCTGCTTTATTGCTCGGCCAAATGATGTCTCGGATTGCTGTTATCCTGTTATCCTGTTAAAAGAGACTTTTGGAAAGATCAGGCAAAAATTGACAAGGTAACAAGTTAACAAGGTAACAAGTTAAACGTTAACACAAATGGCATAGGAGAACACATATTGGCCATGGGCTGGAAAAGTTCCATTTGGAGCATAAGCCCAGTTGTGGCCCATTACAGAGGAGGAGAAATACTCGGGGCAGAAAGGCAGAAAGAGGGTGTCTAAGGTCTTTTGGGCAACCAGGTAGCAGAGAACATAATGGACTGCTTGGAAGTACCAGTTAGAGGCTACTATAAATACAAATAGCAGGGAACAAAGTAACACTGGAACTTTCTGTCCATGAACAAGTTAGACAGGTATGGACATTAGGTGGGCAAGCAACTATTTCTCTTGATCTCCCTGCTCTGATTAATTTTGAAAGGGCAAGCATAAAGTAACTCCATTTAGGAAGTAATCTCCTCTTACTCCTCTCCATAGTTTTCCATTGTCTGGACTAAATTTGTCTTTGGGGGTCTCAATGTCTGTTGCTGGGATAGGTTGTCCTAGTTGACATTGACTGGGTTTGTATCAAGGTCTGGGCACTTTTCCTGAGCACTTCTGCTCAAGGCTAATGCTCTACCACCTAAGAGTTCCTTGGAAGTGAGAGTCTCTTGAGCCATGTCTCTAGCCTGGCTCTTGGCTGATTAGCTGGGAAATGGAGTTTTAGACAGATCCTTTGTGCCCAGGATGGCTTTGAACTGTGGCAAAAAGAATCTTTGTCATAAAAACCATTTATATTTCCAATTCAAGAAACAAGGAGATCAATGACATAGAGGTTACCTATAACTTGTTAATAATTGACTAACAATTGCTTTACAGAATTTTGTAGTAAAACCCAGTAGATATTTTAAAGTACAACTGATTGACATTCTAAGTACTGCCTCTTGCCTCTGGGCAGCCTGTTTAAAGTCATACAACATTTAACCTTTAACAAATGTCAGACCCTTTCTTAGGCTATAGCAGTATATCTTGTTTAACAGTTTGGTTTGTTAATGCATTTTTCTGGTTAACTGAGGAGCCTGATCGGTAGTGGTTCCAAAAATGCCTGCCCCTGTAGGCCTTTAGACAAATCTCACTAGGGACCTAATCTCAGGTCACAACCACTTTTCCTTAACGGATAAGTTAATGTGGCTGGGCCAGCTCAAAAGTCATTGCCATTTAAGACTTTGAGCAGATACAGAGCCTTTGGGATTTCAATTATCCCTCACATTTTACAACTTTAGTTTTTATAACCCAGTACCATAGATGACTGGCAAGTCCCTGCCAAGTCAGACAGACATGGGTATTAGTCATGCCTACAAATTATCTTCCCATGACTTCCAGACTCTGATCAAGCTTTGAAGGGCCAAGCAGAAGTGACTCCAGGATCTGATACCATCTCTGCCATCCAAAAAGCAGTGGCTTACTGCCTCTGCATGTTCCAACATTCCTGGGGTTCCAGGAATGCCTTTCTCCATGGTGGGATAAATACTTGTTTAGTAGTTTCCTTCATTGCTTCCTTCATTGCATGCTGGACTTGAACTCAGGGTTTGAGTATTGTCCCTCAAGACTAGCCCTCTGCCACTTGGAACTCCAAACCAACTATGCTTTTGAGCACTCTGCTGGCACATTAGAGATGACAATCTCACAGGACCTTTGTAACCTGTCTTCACACTACTTTTCAGCTTACTTATAGCCACATTTACTCCAAGTAAAAGCAACAACGATGGGCACTGGAAGGAGATTTAAAAGCATGGTTTTACCTTGAAATTATTCAGGGCCAACATTCCATCTGACAAACTTGTCGTCTGTCCTTAATTGTGGGCCTTTAGGAAACTGTTATAAAGACCCTATAATGGCAAAGTAGGTTAAACAATCATTTTGGTAATCCTAATTTTTATTTTCCACGTTGAAATCAACCTTTAGGACAATTTTTCCTTTTAAACTTTCTTTTTTCTGGAAGGCCTGCCACTCCCAGAAACTTCACAAATTTCTGACATTGGAGAGGCCATTTTTAAATCTTTTTGAAAAGTCATTTTACTTTGCATTTAAATTCTTCATTGAAACACTGGGCAATACCCTTTACCTCTTGTCTGAAGGTTTAAACTGGCTATTTTTTCCTACAGTATGAGTTACATTCAGCAAATTAGCAGTTTATTTTAATGCAATAGCTCTGTACCAAGAATGTAGACTTAGTATCTCTTGACCTTTAGAGATAAGTCAACTTAGATTTTTTGCTTATACACCCCTTATGGTCTAACATGGTGGTGATTAACATTACAAAAACAAATATGTTTTTTTTTCAATCCAGAAACAAATATCTTAATTGGCTTGTTTTTTATTCTCTTTTTACCGCAAATTCGCAGGCTTTACATCATGTGTGATTTAGCAAGGCTGGAGTCTAGGCAAGGATGTGGCATCTCCCAGTGTGTATGGACTGTCGCATCTCTTGCTGGTTACCTGCAAAATTCTATATGCACTAGTTAAAGACCACTAGTGAAAGACCACACTGGCTTTTGCAGGCTGGTGTCACTGGTTTAGGCCGCTGTGACAACTTTGTTCTGTTACATGGGTATTTCCCATGCCTAGGAGCAAACTGCATCTTGACACACTGTGGTCCCTTGATTATAAAGGGAGTTGATCAGTGCACAGCAGAGGAAACAGAGAATTAAAACCTTAGGCTTAGTTTACCAGTCATGGTCAGAGGTACAATATTTAATCTTAGCATAGATAGACATCAGAAATAATATAAATCACAGCCAACTTAATTACCACTTTCATTGACTTTGGAAAGGAAACCATCTTTTCTAAGTCCTTTCCCATGGCCTTTTAAAACTGCCTGTTTTTTTATTTGGCTTATAGTCAGGTCACAAAGCATTTCAGATTAAATGACAGCTTCCATTGACAAAGATTTTTAGCAAGCAGAATACTTGGTAACTTTGGAACCATTACTGTTTACATATATTACATATAGACAGACAGAGATGTTTGTGCACAGATTATAGAACACACTTAAATTCTAAAATTGGCCATTTAAAGTTTTTGGAATTTTAGCAGTAATACTTTGCCTAATCATGGTAGAATCACATAGTCAGTTCAAAACAAAAAACTGCCAACAAGAAACTTTTTAGTAAACAGGAGTCAAGACATGAACAGACATATAGCGTGACATAATGGCCCCTATCCTGGTCAGGTAAGGGGGGATGTTTATAGGACCCAAAAACATCCAAGGAAATTTATTGTGAAAGCCACCTTCACACCCTCCCCCTCTTCACTAGGCTTCCCTCAGAGCACCTGGACCAGTTCCCTCCACCAGGCACCCCTGTCATGTGACACCAGGCAGCCCACAAGGATCATTTTCGCCTGTATTTTACCCTGCCAAATATCTAGCACAGTCTTACCTCTTTCTGCTTATCTCTATAATTCCATGGCTATCTAGAAGTACTCTAGCTAGCTTTTGTCCATAATTTTTTCCATGAGTCTAGATTTTTAAATTGCTACAGAATTAAATTTAGCAAAACCATAACTAATAATTTGTTATAGAACTAGAAATTTGGAACTGGAAAAAGCAATATTGTCCTCTTGAGAAATTCACTTTCACCCTCCATAACAGAGAGAAAACACAGACTCTCCACAATATCCACACTAGTGTTTTATTACTCAGAAGAACAATAGCATGGTCTACAAGTTAAAAATTCATAACAGACTCATGAGTAGTAAATAGAAAACAGCATGTAGTAAAATCATTTTGGCATTACTCATCCAAACCCAAATGCTTAAGAATCATGTCTTAATTTTTTCACCAAAGAAACTAGAAATGGAACTGTGATTCTAGTGCTAGAATTTAGCCTTGAGAAAAAGTAGTTAAGGAATGTGGCTAGGCTTTGAGTTCAATCTACAAGACTTGTACCCACACACAAAGAAAATGTATTCCCAAATATGTATTCTTTCAGGTTCTCTGAATGTTTCATGAACTTGGGGATGAAAGATGATGAGACAGATTTTATTATTGTGTACATTTTGTAATAAACAAGGAGTATTATCTTCCAACAGACCTTCCATTAAAGAAATGAATTGGAATAGTAATAGTGTTATAATGATACATAGACCACACATATAGTGGAAGACTTTTGGGGAGCAGTGGAGAAATCGATGCTCTCATGTCCTTGGATTAAAGCATGATAGTTCTTCCCCATCTATCACTACCAAACCAGCCTGGATGATTTGAGTTCAATCTGAAAGGTCCAGAGCTCCTATTCTGAGAAGTGTTTATTAAATTTCCTTGAACATCCATTCCTCAATATAAAAGACACAAATCAACGATTTCACTATCTTAATTCTTTGTCAAGCCTGGAGGTAATTGATACCCATCCCTTTGGTCCAACCCCTGAATAATATGAAGGGGCATCATCCCTACTCTACACAATGAGAGGATGAGAAATGTTGACTCAGTGAGTGGTTTCCCCTTACCCCTAGCTTAATTCTACCATGCAGGATTTCTCTATAATTTACAGAGGTTTCTGCCAAAGGTTTCCGTATATTGGGTTTCTTTTTTGTGTGAGTGCTCTAATGCTGGCTGAAGGTTCATTTCTGCTTGAAAGATGTCCTCTAATGTTCACTTCACATTTTGTCTTGTCTCTAGGTCTCTGAAATATGTAGAGAAACCTCTGAAACTTCTGGCTAAATATTTGTCTACATTTATTATACTCACATTTTCTCTCCTTTTTATGTTCTTGGATGTAATGAGGACTGACTTCTATTAAAAATCACATATTTTTTAAACCTGTTAGTTTTCTTTTCTCCTGTGAGATTCAGTTCTCTGATGAACACTGGGCTATGTTGTCGAAGTGGGATTTTCTACATTGGTATTATTCATACCTTGTCTTTCTTGTCTGTGCTCTATAAACAATCATCCCTGCATGATTACTAAGTGAAGGACTTTTTTGATACTTGTTTCGTTTTCTCCTGCGTGTTTTCTGATGAAAATTTAACTATGACTTCTCGAAAACTTTCCACATTTTTTTCATTCATAAGATTTTTCTCCTGTGTGCATTCAATTTGGAACCATGAGGTATGCCTTCTGGCTAAAAGCCTCCACATTTGCGACATTCACAAGGCTTCTATCTGGTTTTGGTTATATCATGCAAACTTATTTTTCTTCCAGGTGAGACTTTCCATATTTATCACATTCCTAAGGTTTCTCATGTGTGTGGATTTTCTTATGCTTCCTGAGGTATGAACTCCGGATGAAGGACTTTCCACATTTGTTACATTCATAAGGTTTCTCTCCTGTGTGTGTTCTCTGATGAATAGTAAGTTTTGACTTATGGTTGAAAGACTATTCACACACATTACATTCATAAGGTTTCTCTCCTGTGTGTGTTCTCTGATGGCGAATAAGGTGAAACTGCTGTCTGAAATACTTTCCACATTTGTTACATTCATAAGGTTTCTCCCCTGTATGTGTTCTCTGATGGACAGTAAGGTGTGGTTTTAATCTGAAATACTTTCCACATTTGTCACATTCATAAGGTTTCTCCCCTGTATGTGTTCTCTGATGGACAGTAAGGTGTGATTTTAATCTGAAATACTTTCCACACATTACATTCATAAGGTTTCTCTCCTGTGTGTTTTCTCTGATGAACAGTAAGTTCTGACTTACGGGTGAAAGACTTTTCACACACATTACATTCATAAGGTTTCTCTCCTGTGTGTGTTCTCTGATGAACAGTAAGGTGAAACTTCTGTTTGAAATACTTTCCACATTTGTCACATTCATAAGGTTTCTCCCCTGTATGTGTTCTCTGACGGACAGTAAGGTATGATTTTAATCTGAAATACTTTCCACATTTGTTACATTCATAAGGTCTCTCCCCTGTATGTGTTCTCTGACGGACAGTAAGGTATGATTTTAATCTGAAATACTTTCCACATTTGTTACATTCATAAGGTTTCTCTCCTGTGTGTGTTCTCTGATGAACAGTAAGGTCTGACTTCTGTCTGAAATAATTTCCACATTTGTCACATTCATAAGATTTCTCTCGTGTGTGTATTCTCTGAAACATATTGATGTATGACTTCATTCTACATGAATTTCCACATTTGTTACATTTATCAAACTTCTGTTCTTTGTCAGTTCTGTGATGCCTTCTGAGACCTGACTTTTGAGTGGAAAATTTCCTACATGCTTCATATTCATAGGGTTTCTCTTCTGGTGTTGTTTTAGGTTCGTCAGAACTTAGTTCTGACTTCTTAGAGATAGATTTTCCACATTGCTTAAACTCATCAAGCTTCTCTGGATATTTCCTCTCAGGTTTTGTAAGGTGTAAATCCTTACTGAATGATTTCTTACATTCACTACTTGTATAAGGATTCTCTCCTGTGTCTCTTTTCTGAGGCATAGTGACTGGAAACCTCCTTCCCTGACAAAGTTCTTGGGCAAGAAGAGCAGACTTATCATATTCTTCTCTATATTCATTATGGTTGGAGGTGGGATCTCTGACGCAAACCCAATTATGTGGAAAGAATATCATCTTTGAATTTAATATCTTCTCTCCTCCATATTCAAAATATGGACCATCATAATTTTGACTAAAAGCCTCTGAATATCTAAGCGATTGTTTAACTACAGGAGAAACACCAGGCATACATGCAGCCGGCATCTTACCAGGCTCACCGTAGGGGAGCATGTTCTGACACTGAATGAACTCATCCGTCATCATCCTTAAGGAGTTCTCATCATTCCTATTCAGATCTGGCTTCTGTTTTGAGGTCAAGTGAGAAGTTGTCACTAATCTCACTCTTTGCTCTATTGTGTTAATATTTGTGACAGCTACATCATGCAGACATTCATCTGGATCTTCCTGGTAAGTCTTAATCACATGCTTCATTTTTTGAACATCTAAAATGAGTTATATAAAGAAGAAAAAATAAATAAATAAGATCCAAATACTCCTTAATATAAAGGTAAATACATTTTTCCCATCTTAACTGTTACAAATTTTAAAATATTAAAGTAGGAATTGATTTATGAGAAATAAATTTCTTTCACCACAATGTATTGATTAAGAAAGTAATACTCTTCCTTACACCCTTTTTTGTCATAGGGCATGAACTCCAGGTCTGGTGTTGTCCTTCAGCTCAATGCTAGCTCTCTACCATTTCAGCCACAGCACGACTCCCAGGTTTTTCTGCTTATGTGGTGCTGAAGAATCGAACCCAGAGCCTTATGCATGCAAGGCAAGCGCACTACCACTGAGCTACTATAATCAAGAACTCTGATAACAACAGATGCTGGAGGGGATATGGACAGAAGGGAACGGTACTGCATTTTTGTTGGCAGTGTAAACTTGTTCAACCACTTTGGAAAACAGAATGGAGACTCCTAGGACTCCACATAGAGCTCCCTTATGAATCAGCAATCCCACTTATGGGCATTTACCCAAATGATCACAAACAAGACCATACTAAGGGTACCAGCACAACTATGCTTATTGCAGCATTGTTTACCATAGCTAAGATAAGGAACAAACACAAATGCCCCTCAGTAGATGAATGATTCAAGAAAATGTGGTATATATGCATAATGGAATTTCATGCATACATCGGAAAGAATGATATGGCTCCATTCGTTAGGAAATGGAAAGACTTGGAAAAATTATATTGAGTGAAGTATGCCAGGCCAAAAGAAACAGGTCCCATGGTTCCCCTTATTTCAATAACTAGTATAGAAATGGTCAATAAGTTGATGTTAGGCCAAACGAACCCCAAGATAAGGACTCATATTTTTTTCTTTCTTGCTATTGTTTCTAACATATATATATATATATATGTTTATATATATATATGTTATATATGCTTTATATGTCCCTCCCCCATGGTATAACCCCTGTTTTTACTGTGTTGATGTAGGTATAATTTGTGGAGGGGAAGGTGGACCCATGCCAACAATGAGATGTACAAGACGTTATGTCAAAAAATGAACTTTACAACTTTGGCTGTGGCGGGAGGCTGGAGGGGAATGATGGGAAGGGATGGTAATGGAAATCAAAGGAGGGGGCAACAATGCTTGATAAGAAATGTACTCATTACCTTTCCCATGTACTTGTAACCCCTCTGTAAATGATTTTCACAATAAAAAAAGAGTAACACTGACAGTTTATGATGGAAAATGTTTTTCTGTGTTTCAGGTATTTCTTCTTTTTTATGTCAGAGGAATTATTTATACAAATTACTAAACTATTTACTGCTAGCTTTTTAACCTGTATAATTTAATATGTATCATTCTTCATTTTTTCCCAAAAATTGATTTGTTTGATCTTAGGGGAATAGATGTTTTGTATTGTTTTATTTTCTTAAAATAATTTATATATTGTGCTACTTTACTTCTCAAACATTAGGAGAACAGTATTTTCTAACTTTGGAGATTGTACCATTTTTATACAAACCTTTGCTTTCACCTGAGAATAAAGTTTTATAACCACATTTCTTCAGTTATAAGTTCTCACTGTGAATTAAGTACCTTTAGAAATTTTAAATTTGTTTCTCTCCATCTTAGACAGAATCTCATCAGACTTTTAAACCCTCAGACTCATGAACTAAAGCCACATCAGCTCACCACCTAGTTAATCATTCTCTCTAGACTGAAAGCTTTGGTTCTGTATCTTGGCCTCTACCCTCCTTATCCTTATCAGAGGATAGCAGCCTTGGCATAGTCCTAGTTTCAAAGAAAACTAAATCTCATTTTTCACATTTCTAATTTTCTTTTTTTCAAAATAATTTCCACAAAGAATTTCCACAAAGAGAAAGAGTTGCTAACTTTACCTTTACTGCCCTACACAGTTCAGTGTGCATCTACATGCATTTTTGATTAACACATAGTTCTCTGCTACACATGGGACTCAAGGGAATTTGGAATATTATTGGTCAGTACATAGCAAGACAAATTTACCAATTTGGTTCTGGATCCAAGATCATATGCAAGATGCTTTAACTCACCTGAGAAATTCTTGTCTGAGGCTTCTCTCATATATGACTCTTCATCTTGCTCCAGCTTGACAATCAATTGAGGTTTAGGACCAGTGTGCCCTGTTAATAAGAGTGAAGACCTATTGCTCATGCTGTGTCAAAATTGTTCTAAGTTTTCAGATATCCTGTTAACAAGGTTGCTCCCAAATCTTCTTTCATTTCTCACTGGCTCCATGGTTGAATCTCCCTGAGGTTTGAATTAATTTTGCAGGTTGTGTGACTTGAATGCAATTCTTTTTCTCAAGGTTAGCATTCTATTAGTTTGAGTCCTAGCTCCACTTCCAGTTTAAAAGTGGTTATCTTGAGATAAGAGTCTCATGGAGACTTCACTGGCGCTTTTTCTTCAAACTGAAAGCCTCAGATTTCAGACTAAGAATTACAGGCATGAACCACTGCATGTAGTACTAGGTTTGGATTATAAATACTCCCTCTAATCTAGTGATTTCCAGTTCATACTTCCAATAATGTTAAATAGGTGTGTATGTATGTATGTATGTGTTTTCTAGATTGTATATCTACCCACAATAATCACCTCAAGTTTGGGAAGACAGTCTTCTCTTTATGGAAGACAGTTTGGAACTTTTGTCATACTGCTGATTTGGATTCATGAACAATGAAAATAAAATTGCCTCTGAATGTATATAATCTACCTGTATATAATCTACCTTCATTCGAAACAAATGACACTTCCCACAGAGTGGAAACTTACATCCAAATAGCATGGAAAGTTCTATAAATATTCACATATCTACTAAAAACAAATCATTTTCCAGGCACCAGTGGTTCACACCTGTAATCCTAGTTACTCAGTAGGCTGAGATCTGAGGATTGCCATACAAAGCCAGCCCTAATAGGAAAGCTGTGAGATACTTATCTCCAATTTAACCATCAGAAAGCTTGAAGAGGCGCTGTTGCTCAAGTGATAGAGTGCTCACCTTGAACTGAAGAGCTGAGGCACTGTACCAATGCCCAGAGGTCAAGCCCCACTTAACTTTTCAAGCTAATGTGATATTTTTGGCTCACCTAAGGACACCAGCATGCTATAGGTTTCCAGCATCACATCTCTATACAGGGTCCTCTGAGAAATATCCAATTCCTGCCACTCCTCCCAGCTGAATTCCACAGCCACATCATCAAATGACACCAGCTTCTGTAAGGGCAGATTCCATCAATCCCTGAGCATGAGAACACCAAAGCTAGAATTTCATTCTGCTACATGTCTGATTTTGTATTTCAGAATGTGGTTGGAACTTTCTATGTTATTTATAAAATGAGAGAAAATATAATCAAAGTAGAAATATAGTAACTTGGTAATTATGCATACAAAATTTTTCTAATACATCAGAACCCATTTCTGGTTCCAGCAATAAAGAAAAGAAAACAGAAAACAGTTCTACGGAGCTAGCAAAACAACAATAAGTATAAGTAGGAGTCTGAAAGTGTGTGTTTAGCTTATCTTATTTTGGTAATATTTACTACATATCTGGGTAACAATGAAGTAAACAAATATTTTCTGCATTTTCATATTCTGCCTCACTGATTTAGATTTTCTATTAAATAGTGCACTCATAAACAGTCACAACATAGTCATTACATCATATGGAATACATAACACATTAGTAGATCTAAGAAAAGCACAGCATCCAGTGAATGTTAAAAGGAGTAAAATTACTCAAAAATAGTAAATGAATGATTTGGCTCTCATAAGATTTGACTTAGTTTTCACAATAAAACATACGATGTTAATCATTTTTGTTATTAAATTTCTAGATATAAAAGAATGGTCATAGATAGCCATATGTTTCCTTCATATTAAAAACCAATTGCCAGCATGAATCTTTGTGAACATTGACTACTTCCTACCACACCAAATACTTACTTACTACCATAAAATGTTTCTTAATCAGCTTTGCATTTTAATAGGCTAAGGATGGATGTAAATGGATAGAGGTTTAAGGAATGCTCAAGATGATCTCCAAAAATGTGAAATATGACCACCACAAGAAGGATAGAGAATAAAAACTATGAATTGGGACATGATCTAAAAAATATAGTAGTTTTAAGAATTAGAATAAAATACAGCACTAATTTGTTGTACAGCATCTAAAAGGAATACAGACATTCTTGACAATATCAGAGGTGAGTGATAACTAACACAAAAAAGAAAATATATCTATAAAATGTTGAAAGAAAATAGACTTTAATACACAATCCATTGGGCAAAGGGCCTCTTCTAACAATATAGATTGAAGGTATTCCTAGGGAAAGATAATGCATTATTAACACATCTTCATTTTAAGTGCTATAAAAATTATTCTGCGGGGCTCGGAAGGTGGCTGGCTCAGTGGTAGAGCACTTGTTTTGCATGTCTGAGGCCCAGGGTTCGATTCCTCAGCACCACATAAGCAAAAAAGAAAAAAGCCAGAAGTGGCGCTGTGGCTCAAGTGGTAGAACCCTAGCCTTGAGCTGAAGAGCTGAGAGACAGGGCCTAGAGCCAGAGATCAGGCCTGACAACCAGACCAAAAAAAATTATTCTGTATCAAGAGAAAAATAAAAATAGCTAACATAGATCTACACAAAGGACAAGATTATTAAAAAGGTAAATGTGTAGTTAAAGGAATGGTACATGTGTAGGTAAAAGAATGTATAGAAAACATTGTATGCAATTTCTCTTGTGAAAAGAAAACTTATAGTACCATATTCATAATTCATAAGGAATTGAAAGTCTATATACAAACACATAAGTGTTTTAAAAACAAAGATTGTGAAACCTGCACATGGATCAATGAATTTTGTACTTGCCTCGGAAATATGGGGGTCTGAGTTCAAAGAATTATTTCTACAAAAATGTAAAAGGAGAATAGAAAGGTTATAAATTCCATTCAATTCCATTGAAAAGTAACTATATTATGCTATATGCTACTACTATGATAATATTGTAAAGTTTAATGTTCCTAGTAAAAATGCATCCAGCAAGTTAATTTCCTTTGTGTTCCTACCAAAGAATCCCACAGGGTAGAAAGTTAATTTTCTTGCAGTACTATAGTATAACAATTTTCCTGCACATTTTACCTCTGCTGAAGCTCTATGCTTCAGCCTGAGAATGGCCTTTGTTCTTTACATGAAATGTCTGCTTATTTCTGTATGAAGAATATTAATAAGACCATTTTTAAAAAATCTTGTAGTCCTTGCATATTTTGAGTTGCACAAATTCAATGGAACATAGAAACAAATCTTTGAAAAAGTAGGGCATCTGTATTAAGCATGCAGTCTTATTTTTATCCTATGAACAATGCAGTATAACAAGTATTTACATCAGATTTAATTTGTAATTGGTATCAGAGGTAATTCACAGTGTACAGGAGAATGCCTGCAGCTTATATGAGAGGTGATTTACAGTGAATTTGAGGTGTGTGCAGGTTACATAGAAGCAAAATAAGAAATAAATATAAGATGAGACAAACAAATATTAAATAGCAAAATGTTCATCGAAATAAGACCTTATTTATATTGTAAAATATAGTAAATATATAAGGCACTGTCTGAAATGAACAGAAGAAAGAAAACTTAATGAGCAATCCAAAGTCATGGACTAGAGAGAAATAAAAATTTTAAAAAATATACAAAGATACTATGAGCAAAAGTTAATGATGAAAAATACAAATTGGGATAATATGTAGGAAATAAGCATCAGCCCCAAATGTATGACCACAGATACAGATAATTGCTAATAACAGACAGATTATACATTATGATAATAAAAATTTATGATGAAAAGCAAAGTGTACAAAGACATGTTTAAAAGACCATGCAGTTTTAATACTTTAATGTACCATTACTATTGCAGAACTCATACTCCTCTTACTAACTGATATAACAACCAGACAAAAAATCAGCACTAACACACACATGGATGCCATTATCTTAAACTTAAAAAAAAACACTATGGTGTTACATTTATCAAGACACATATTCCAAGATTAAAAGTAAATCAGAAGACAAATGATATAGAAACCAATATGAAAAATTAAAGTTATGTTATAAATACATGAAAATTAAAAAATATATTTGCAGTATACTATGAATGAAATAAACACAGGGAAATTACAATGGATCTCAAAGAAATGTATTCCTTCATTGTGATTTATAGAATATTAAATGTAGCCTCTTTCTTACTTCACCTTTGAAATAAAAACAAATAGTTTGGGGCTGGGAATATGGCTAAGTGTTAGAGTACTTGCCTGCCATGCATGAAGCTCTAGGTTCCATTCCTCAGCACTACATAAACAGAAAAATTAAGAAATGGCACTGTGGCTCAGGTGGTAGAGTTGTAGACTTGAGCAAATCAAGATCAGGAATGGTGCCCAGGAAGGCTCCAAATTCAAGCTCTAAGTTTGGCAAAAAAAAAAAAAGGTTAAATATATATGGTGTATTCACATGGATATCTTCTGGAGAGTGGGGGAAAGCCAGAGAACTGGAAGGAAATGGGGTAAAAAGTGCATCTATGGAGGTCATTAGGCACTGATGAAAGTAAGCTATATAAATCATGAGTCAAGATGGAAGGGAAACATTGGGAGAGAGTGAGGGTATGGAAGACACAGCATGACAGGAAATGTACTCAATACCTGGCCCAAGAACTGGTAGTCTCTCCATACATCACCACTATAACAATCAATTCAATTTAAATTTGAAACAATTTCTTCATGGAGTTGTGTGAGCATAAAGTTAGTGAAGTAAATGTACCACAGTTAGAAGAACAGCTGCAATTATTAGAAATAAAATACATCACTTAATTGATACATGAAATACTGGAGCTTAGGTTGAATTTTAAATATGCTGTTAACAATAATCTAACTTTATTGTAGTATCCAATTAACTGTTAATGATAAATATTCAGGTAAGTAAAAACAAAACAAAACAAGTGCTTCTGGCTCAAGCTGCTTATCCTACCCTAGCTACTAAGGAGTCTGGAAGCCAGACAACTGGGTAGACAACTCAAAAGAAGCAGCTAATCAACAGATTGGAGGAGGTGTGGCTCAAGAGATAGTACCAAAAAAGAAATTAAAGCACAACTTAGGAAGTGGAAAAACCTACCATGCTCCCGGAATGGGAGGATCAACATTGTGAAAATGACAATACTTCCAAAGTCTATCCACAAATTCAATGCGATACCTATCAATAGTCCAACCTCATTCTTCAATGAAATAGAAAAAGCAAGCCATAAATTTATATGGAACAATAAAAGACCCTAGATAGCAAAAACAATCCATACCAGAAATAACAATGCTGGTAGAATATCACTACCAAATTTCAAACTGTACTACAAAGCCATAGTAATCAAAACAGCTCGGTAACTGCACAAGAACAAACTTGAGGATCAATGGAATACTGAAGTCCCAGAAATGAACACACAGACCTATATCCACCTAAACTTTGAGAAGGGAGCTAAAAAAATAGAATGGAGGAACGACAACTTCGTCAGTAAAAGGTGGTGGCAAAGTTGGTTCATTACCAGAAGAAAACTAAAGCTAAATCTCTATATATCACCCTGCACCAAAATCAACTCCAAAAGTAACAAAAACCTCACATTCAAAGAAAACACCCTGAAAAACATTACAGAAAAGAATAGGAGAAACTCTAGTGGTACTTGGCACCAGCCAAAATTTTCTTAATAGAGACCCAGAAACACAACAAATCAAAGAAAGGTTGGACAAATGGGATTGCATGAAACCACAGAGCTTCTGCATGCAAAGGACATTGCTAACAAGATCAATACAAAGCCCACAGATTGGGAAAAGATCTTCACTAGGCATAAAACGAACATGGGTCTCATAACTAAAATATACTTAGAACTCAAGAAATTAAATCCCCAACAACAAATCCTCAGAGAAACAACTGCCCAATAAATAAGTGGGCTAAAGACATAACAAGAATCTAATCTGAAGAGGAAAGAAGAATGGCCAAAAGATATCTTTAAAAAAAATGCTCAACTTATAAATATGTTAGAAACAATTACAAGAAAGAAAATACATTTGAATCCTTAACGGCGTTCATTTCGCCTAAAATCAACTTATCTGATCGTTTCTGCTTGTCTCAGACATATACTAGTTATTTCAAGTAAGGGAAATCATGAAACCTATGTTTGTTTGGGCCTTGCTTATTTCACGTAGTATAATTTTTTTCCAAGTCTTTCCATTTCCTAACAAATGGAGCAATTTCATTCTTAAAAAAATACAAAAACCAAAACAAGGCTCAACTTCTCTAGTCAAAAAGAAATGCAAATTAAGACAACCTTGAAATTCCACCTCACCCCAGATAGATTGGCTATAATCAAGAACACTAATAACAACAGATGCTGGAGGGGATGCAGACAGAAAAGGGAACCCTACTGCATTGTTGGTGGGAGTGTAAACTTGTTCAATACCTTTGGAAAGTAGAATGGAAGTTCCTCAAAAGACTCTACATAGTGCTCCCCTATAATCCAGCAATCACACTTTAGGGTATTTACCCAAAGATCACAAACAAGGGTGTACTAAAGCTACCAGCACACCTATGTTTATTGCAGCTTTATTTACCATAGCTAAGATATGGAACCAACCTCGATGCCCCTTAGTAGATGAGTGAATCAAGAAAATATGGCATATATATATATGTATGTATATATCCATATATACATAATATGCATTTATACATATATACGTGTGTGTATACACACACACACACACACACACACACACAATGCTTTTCTATGCCTCCATTAGAAAAATGGTGTCACACCATTTATTAGGAAATGGAAAGACTTGGAAAAACTTGTATTAAGTGAAGTAAGCCAGGCCCAAAGAAACATAGGTCCCATGGTCTCCCTTATTTGAAATAATTAGTACATGTCTAGGACAAGCAGAAATGGTCAAAAGCTATGTACATATGACCATATAAGATGATATGAAGCGAAATGAGCCCTAAGACAGGAACCCAAGTGGTTTTTCTCTTTCTTGCCATTGTTTTTAATGCACTTTTATAATGTACTATGTGATTTTTTTTGTTCCTTTGGTATGTTCTTCCCCCAAGGTATAACCCCTGTTTTCACCGTATTTGTTTGCGGTACCCTGCATCTTGTATATACATTTTTCTAATTTGGGGATAGGAAAGGAAAAACCAAAAGGCTTAAATAGGGATACAAGCTGACCCATTGTAACAATGAGATGTACAAGGCACAAGGTTGAAAACCAACTTTGCCATTTGTGTGAGGGAGGGTGAGAGGGGTTGCAGATGTTAGGAGGAAAGAAATGGTAGGGAAAAAACAAAGGAGCAGGTAACAATGCTCCATAGGAAATATAATCACATAACTGTAACCCCTCTCTAAACTATTTTACAATGCAAAAAGATTAAAAAAAAAGTAGTGCCAACAGTGAAGGAGGAAGCTGACAGAATGTGAGGCCTGTGAGTTCCTGTTCCAACACTAGCACAAGAAAGGCACAGTGGAGAATGAGTTAGGTGTATCCCATCAGTTTTGAATTTAGACACCAAGCATGCAACACAACAAACCTTCATCTCAGACATAAAGATAAAAGGGGTAAGAATAATTTCAATTGAAAGAACCATGTCATCAAAGGAAAATTGATCAGTAAAACAAACAAGTTCCCAGATACAGCATTTGAAAAATGGTGAGAGACAAATGGAGAGAGGGGGACTGAAAGAGAAGAAGACACAAGGAGGAAAATATATAAAAAGTGAGAGAAAGAGAAATGATGAAAGCTTATGAGTAGGAAACAGAATGAAGAGAGTAAATAGAGAAAAAAAAATCTTGTGAGGACACCTTAGAAAAAATATAGAGGGCTCTCTAGGAAATATTATCAGGTTTTATGTAATCAAAGACCAGGAAGACCAGAAGTATGTATGGAGAGTAATTTAATTACATATATCTTACTAAATAATCTCTAACATTTGAAGTTGTGTGTATGACCACACTATTTCAGAAACTCCAGTAAAACCTCTTTAACATAATTCAACATTACTAATAAGGAGGTGATCTCTGACAAGTTGTCAGCAAATGTCCACTTTACATGACAAGTGACACCCTCAATGGCATTGAATCACAAAACAAGTGTGACTACTTTATCTCATATCAGAAAACTCCAAGCAAGTCTGCCCTCAATAAGACAGATTGTAACATTTTATAATCTACTCATTCTAAAAACCATCTTTACCTGATTTAGGAGCAAGTTCTTGAAGCTGAATCTTTTTTTTTGTTTTTAAATCTTGGATAAACTTAGCTTCCTAAAATGGAATGTAAAAAATGAGATATAAAAAGCAACTCACCAGAGATCTTCTCATTCTTTCTTGCTGTTGACAATGAAGAGAAGATTCTGGAAGCATGGCTTGGAGAAAAGGCAATTGACATAGTCAGGAAAGAACCTGTGTGATTATGCCCAGATTTTCCTGCTCAAAACATTATACATGGAGTGAAAAAACACAAAGCCTTCTTATGGGCGAAGAATATTGGATGTCTCAAGTAGAGTATTAAATGCTCCACTGAAGATGACTCCACAGTCCATTAGTTGGTAGACAAACAGTATTCTAGGTTAATATACATACAGAATTCATAAAAACTCAGGTTCCTAAAAATAATTGAATAATTAAAACAAAAATCCACACCTTTAATACCACTAGTTATTAAGGAAATACATTTAGGGTTGTATGAATTATTTTTCTATTCATTAAAATGGATCCTAGGACTCCATTGAACTGTTTTTTTAAAATTATTGTGAACATACTGTACAGAGGAGTTACAATTACATGGGCAAGATAATGACTACACTTCTTATCCAGCATTGTAGCCTCCTCCTTTGTTTCCCCTTCCCACCACCTCCTACCCCCACCCCCTCCCACATCCTTTCCCCCCCACCAAAGTTGTAAAGTTCATTTTCCACATAACAACTGTACGTCTCATTGTTGCAATGGGTCCACCTGTATCCCTCTTTAAAGGATTTGTTTTTTCCCTTCCCCTCCACAAATTATGGCAACATCAAATACAGTGAAAGCAGGTGTTATACCGTGGGGGAGGGACATACAAAACAACAAGGAAATAATCTTATAAATGTGTTAGAAACAATTGCATGAAAGAAAAAAAAATTGAATATATATCTTAGGATTCATTTCCCTAACATCAAGTTAAATGACCTTTTCTGCTCGACTCAGTCATATACTAGTTATTTCAAATGAGGGAAACCATGGGGCCTGGCTTACTTCAATTAATATAATTTTTTCCAAGCCTTTCCATTTTGTAACAAATGGAGCAATGTCATTCTTTCTGATGGAGGCATAGAATTCCATTGTGTATATATACCACATTTTCTCGATCCATTCATCTACTGAGGGGCATCTGGGTTGGTTCCATATCTTAGCTATGGTAAATAATGCTGCAATAATCATAGTCATGCAGGTAGCTTTAGTGTGGTCTTGTTTGTGAACATTTGAGTAAATGCCCAAAAGTGGGATTGCTGAGTCATAGGGGAGCTCTATGTGGAGTCTTTTGAGGAGCCTCCATACTACTTTCCAAAGTGGTTGAACAAGTTTACACTCCCACCAACAATGCAGTAGGGTTCCCTTCTGTCCACATCCCCTCCAGCATCTGTTATTAGGGTTCTTGATTATAGCCATTCTAACTGGAGTGAGGTGGTATCTTTTGCACTCTGCCTTATTAATTTATATATTTAAACTCCATGGAGAGAATATACGTTATAACTCAATATTACCTCACGCAAAATTGTACAGGAAATGTATAATACATATTACTTGTATTATAATATTTCAGTAATGGTTTTCAAATGGCACATTTACCTGCATCCAAATTCTTGGAGCACCCTTGAGCAATAACTTGAAATTTGTCATTTAGCCTACTTTATGTAATCAGTAAAGGTTATGTAAATACAGGTTTGAGAAGTCCCTAAGGGTCACTTTCCTAAACAATTCTGTGAAGAATTGTGGCCATTCTCTGGGAGATAAAGGGCTTAGTAAAGATGAAACATGAAATATTAGTCATAGGAGTGACAGAACACCAACCACACAATCACAGCAAAGAACCAGAAGATTAAAATCTTATGTTGCACAAATAATACTAACACAAATTCTAAGCTGAGGACACCCCAAAATACAGATTTATAAAAATAAAAAATGATTTAAATACCTATATGCTTTTTCTTATATTTATTGTTTGGCTTTTACACAGGAAATGCTACTATCCAGAGGATTTTTTTACACAACTATATGGAAGAGAAACTCTTTATATAAAATAACATAAACTTTACAGTGACATATGAAATATGAAAATCTACTCTGTAAACTTCAGTTAGGTCGTTTTTGCTAAGAAACAGAATGAATCACTTAAAAACAATATTTGTGCATTCATTTTGGATTGTTACACGTCACAAGAATGGTTTCTTACTTTTAAAAAGTTACAAGAATTTTCTGTAGGCTAATTATCCATAGTCCATTACTCAAAACCACAAGTGTTGTAGATTTCAGGGTGGGATATTTTCTTTTTGTTTTGGGATTTAGAGTATCCTCCTTAAATTTAAAGTCTGCTATTTCATATTATTTCATTACAAACATAATCTATGTTTAAAAGAGTTTATTTTGTAACTGGGCTCTGGTGGCTCATGGTTGTAATCCTAGCTACTCAGAAGTTTGAGATCTGAGCACCACAGATTGAAGCCAGCTGGGGCAGGAAAGTCTAAGAGACTCTGATCTCCAATAAACTACTAAAATACCTAGAAGTGGAAATGTGGCTTAAGTGGTAGAACATTATGCTGGAACAAAAGGAGCTCAGGGTCAATGTCCAGTTCTTGAGTCCAAGAACCAGGTCTAGCACACAAAAAAGAGCATTTTATTGTACTGTATTTAAATTCTATTGAACAATTGTTTTGGAATACATATTTAGGCAGTCTCTCATTTTAAATGATGTAAATTAGGCTCAGTAATCTAGTGGAGAAATTGTAACTTGTCAAGGACAGATAAAGTCGAGAATATCCATGCTAGTAACATTTTAAGCTAGG